GAATAGTTTCTTTCATGCGCCAAAAAGAGATAACCGAGCATTTGGACGGGTTAACCTTCATACGATTCAGAATACACGAATCAGCGAAAGCATTCAGCTGACGTTGAAGGAAGCAACAGTCTTCAATTGAGTGAATTCGGAGGTAGAGTTTAGCAACAGCGCTAAGCGAAGTAATGCCACGGTAGTTGCCAACGTCCTGTTTGTTGCCTTTTTTATGTACTGGAAACATGTGCGCTAGCTTCCAACAGGATGGGAAAACTCCGACGTCCACAGACCGTTGAAAAACGTGCAGCAGTGGAGACAACAAACTGTCCAAGTGCGTTTTGAGGAACGCCGATGGAATTCCGTCAGGACCCGGATTATACGACGACTTGAGTTTCGAGGAGGCCCTGAAAAACATTTCGGGATTGATGTCAATTCTGCTCATGGTTTGGCCAGAGAGTGGTACGTAACTGGCAGCCAGTCGGGCATGGTCGTCACTCAGTCTCTCGTCCGTGAAGACACGAGCAAATTTTTCAGAGAACAGCTGACAGATATCTTGCGTAGATGAGGCCACGTTACCATTATGTGTCAAAGACGACGGCAGACCAGCTTCATGACGTTGTTCGTTGACAAACTTCCAAAACTGCTTAGGACGTGACTTAAGCTTTCTCTGCAATCCACGTCGATACTGAAGAAAGCACCGTTTCGCAACTCGTTTGTATGCGTGATTGATCCTGACATAGTGACGTTGAAGGGATAGTGTGCGGTGCTTGGTGAACTTCCTAAGAGCGGCTCTCTTTCTGGATTTCGGTCGACAAAATTCGCTCGTATGCCATGGTGGAGGGTCGTATGATGATGAATCTTTTTCGGAACGTGTCTGTCAATGATATATGCCAAGACACTGGAAATAGTTTGAGCGGCGGACTCAATGTCAACGGTGTCCAATAAGACGTCCCAATCTAAATTGGAGAGTAACTCGGCGATACTACCATGGTCGGCGTTGCGAAAATCGTAGGAAACGGTGGCAGGTGAAATATTAAAATCATGAATCAGCTTACTACTTAACGTCACCAGTAGCGGCGGGTGGTGACGATCCAGTCTCACTAGAGGAGTGGGCGCCTCGCATAAGAAAGGAGCCATGTCCTGGGCGCTTACAAAACAAAGATCCAAACTGCGGTTGTTCTGGTTAATAACATGGTTGATTTGAGAAAGAGTGGCTGAGCTGTAATTGTCCAGAAGGAGCGAAGCGTAGGAATGGATGACAGAGTGATCCATGTCAGGATAGAGTAAGCCGTTGCGAGTTTTTTTTTCCATGAAATCCCCGAGAGATTGACGTCACCAAACACAATAGCTTCACCTTTAACTTTCCGACTATTAGCAGCATTCCTATCGCAACGGAAAACTTCATAATCGTCGCCGAACACCTGACGAGAGAGCGTGCGTGAATCCAACCATGTCTCCGTGAGAATAATGATGTCGTAGCAAAGATCCGAGGTAGCTACGTGAAAATCGTCGACATCACAGTTGATACCACCGACGTTCTGATAATACAGCAGCAAGTCTGAAGGAGCAGGTATAGTTTCAATACGTCCTAGAGTCTGAGCAACTTGCGAAGGATGTCTTGATTGTGCAGGCGAATATTGGCTGGAAGCAATGAGCGGATCAGGAGTCGTTGAATCGATAACAGAAGTTGACTTGCCTATGCTGTCGAGTTGGAAGACCCCTTCACTACTCCCACACGCAGGGCCGGGACGACTGCTGAGCGCTGGCTGGAATGGCTCGACTGTGGTGGGAGGTACAAGGGCTTCCACTTCGGTGCGTCCCATAAAAGTTATATATCTTCAAACAACTGATATATACAAAGTTTTATGAAATTGTCCTAAAATTCATTCGCTTTCGTGAGTATATCGATAACCTCCAGAGTGGCTTCAAAGGAAACCCATCGTCGTTCTGGTCTTTCGTAAACGCTCACAAAAGATCAACTAGTATTTCGGCAGACGTCACCTACTGTAATCGAAGCTCCTCCACCGATGCTGCTTCTGGAAAACTCTTCGCTGATTTCTTCCGAAGCGTTTTCGAACTCGATCAAACTCCTCCGCATCGACCAGTTACCGAACTACAGCATTCGTTTGCATTCGACGCTATTTTCAAAGCCCTTTGCTCGGTGGATGCATCGAAAGGCCCATTATTTTACCGAAATCTGTGAAATTTTACCGAAATCTCAACAGCTGAACGTTCGGTGATTTTTCACAGTTTTCCTGTAATTTGTCAACGAATATCTGTGAAAAATCACAAAAAATCTGAGAAAAATCACCGAACTGTTTACCGAACGTTCAGCTGTTGAGGTTTCTGAAAAATTTCTCAGATTTCGGAAAAATAATCTTAGTGTGTAGAATTTAAAAAATACATCATTTTCTGTATGCGCAAGTGAACGCAAAATTTCATCAATTATTCAAAATGTACATCAAATACACTTTCATTCCTTTACATATCAGAGGTATATTTAATTATATAATTCAGCTTATATTATTCTATTACGTACATTAAGGTGGGTCAAGTTTGAATAGCTCTTTCGATCTGTATTGAGGTCCCCAACAACTGTGCCAAATTTGAATTAATTTGGTTATGATCTGCATATGTGGGAGATCTTTAAAATTTGTAAAGAAATATAGGGGAAATGGATGTAATGTTGGCCTAAATGCCCCTAATTTGGGCCCATTCATAAATTCAGCAATCGACTAAATTTTCAACAGCGACCAAAAATATCAATTAGCACTGTCCCAATGACGTGTTCATCTAGATAAAATTGATAAATAGCAGATTTTTAGCGATGGGCCCAATCTTAGATCCATAGGCCAACATTAGAGCCATTTCCCCTAAATGGAAGAAATAATCTAAACAATTCATAAAGAGGAAATGGCTCTGCCCTTTGGATCTAAGATTGGGCCCATCGCTAAAAATGTGCTGTTTAATAATTTTATCTAGATGAACGCGTCATTGGGACGGTACTAATGGATATTTTTGGTCGCTATTGAAAATGTAGTGGATTGCTGAATTTATGTTTGGGCCCAAATTAGGGGCATTTAGGCTGACATTACAACCATTTCCCCTACTTGTCACAAATTATTTTCTTTTTTTGTATAAATCCTAAGATTTAGATTGGAAAAACTATGCAAAACAACTATGTTTTAAGCGGCGCCGGTGGTGTAGTGGTAAGCGTGATTGCCTCTCACCCCAAAAGGCCTGGGTTCAATCCCAGTCGGCGGCGCCGGGATTTGCTGAGGCATAAAATCTCTGATCATGCCTTCCTTCGGAAGGGAAGTCAAGCCGTTGGACCCCGGTTCATGAGTTGATGGGTCGATAGGTAGGGTCTAGGTGTGGGAGCTGCCTCCCTTACGTCGGTAGCATTGGTGCTCAGCACCGAAACAAGATCGACCGAAAACAAATTCAGGGGAAAAAAAACTTTGTCGAAGATCGCAAATCGATTTTACATTTGTGTTAAATGTTATTAACTTTTAACTTCAGGCCAAGTGCGTCTATAAGCTCAAACACAGGCCTGTAGGTATGCGTGCTGCATAAGGTCAAAAATAATTGGTTCATAACTTTTAGAAGAAAAGTCCAATCAATTGTTCTTAAATGTTCTGCATAGTTTTTCCAATCGAAATCGAAAGTTTAATCAATATTGAGCATTTTTTAAGTTTGTAAAGCAACAGATTAGTTTGGCTGTTTTTTTTTATAAAATGTATATCTTTAGTCAAATCCAATTATCTAAAATACATCTCAATATACCTCAAAGATTTTTTTCAGGTATTAAGGTGTAGAAAACTAATTCAGAAAATCGGGTATTTTTTTAAATTTCTTGTGTTGTATATATTTTTCAGCACTCATTAAAAATAAAAGCATCAGGATTGATCAGAACCGATCGAAGAAAAATGATAAAATTTCAAGTTCTAGAACTTTGTTGAAGACAGCAAATCTCTGTCTTGTGAAATAAAAAAAAGTTTATATCACTGCGCAATCTTTGCGGCCAAAACTATTTTTATCCTCCAATTTATAGTCTTAATTAATTCAAGAAATTTCACTTAAGATGTCCACTCAATTGAATGCAATCCCAGAGCGTTATTAATTTTTTCCTGCTAGATTTTATTCCTGGCCCATTGTGCACTGTACAGAGGTTGAATCGATCGATTAGTTTCTATTAAAAAGGCATATTACAAGAAGTACCATAACATATGCAGAGGATGTAATAAATCCAATCTTACGTTAAATGTAAGAAAAATTTGCTTTGCATGTAGCCATTAATGCCAAATGACTGCTCCAACAGAAGTGCTTTGAGAGTAATAAGTTGAGAGTCGGCATAAATATCAAGTTGAGACTCCAAAGAAGAAGAAGGGTGCAGCATTTACTTACTATCGAGCGTTTAAATACACTCGTTCACGAGTTCACAAATCCACACTTCTAGGTGACCCACCAGTTGAGAGCTTTCGTTCGCTCCCCAAAGTGCCTTCGGGTTGTAAGCCATGTTGTTTTTTTACTGTTCCTTCCTATACTCTCGGACCACAAAAGCTTTTATTTGGCGACGGTAAACGCAGAGTAACTAAATAGTGGCAGTGCACTGCGATCGTTCATGTTCCTTGTTCAACATCAGCTCGATGGTGCTCGTGTATTGGTGGAATGATCCTCTCGAGCTTACGCGGTATAGGTGGTGAAGTTCTTCATCTTCTCTTTTCTTTCGTGTAAGATCTCTCACCGTGTGGCCCAGGACTGGTTCCGAAGTATGATCGGCGCTTTCTTGGCTTCAGTTTTGAGAAAGTTTTCGTTCGATCAAGAGGTCTACTTGATGCTGCATCGCGTTGTTCTGTCTGGGATTGAATGGATCAGCTCTTTTGGGTTATAATCTTTGGTGAAACAATGATTTGAAATTTGTGATTTAATTACCTGGATCGTGAGTTTGAGGATTTCGGTGAAGTGAAGTTTGCGTGTTTGAGAGTGTAGAGAATAAAGGATCGGTCAAGGATCATCTGTGTACGCCCTAGAATGGCTCTAGATATTGTGGCCATCGATTGGAAAATAATGGATTACCTAGATCTGAATCATTCGCCTCAATTCGTCAGATAAGGTTTAGTGTGCAGCAGGCGAAAATTTTCAAAGGCGTAAGCATACAAGGGAACAACAAATCAGGAAGAAAAATAGGCATTCGAAGAAGGTTTATAGAAGAAGCATTATAAATCATAGGCTCCGTCGGAGAGAAATGAAAATAAATAAGGAATTGTGGGGCTCTCGCGCAAGAGCTGAAGAATAAGTGATCGCAGGAGGGTGAAGAAGAGGAAGGCTCAGCAGCCTTTAACAAAACAACATACACCTATGCAAGTGGAAGCGTTATTGCGAGTTGAAGAAACCAGAAGAAATCGTGACGAAGAAAACGAACCAGTGGAGGAAAAAAATCTGAGAGTCGAGAAGGTGTGGAAGTGGAATGAATAAACATACTTTAAGGTAGAGCCCAAAAGGCCAACGTAGCTGAAGAGCACTGCCGAAGAGAGAATCGGCTAACCGATAATTACAACCAGTGTAAAGTGTCTGGAAGATAAAGGCAGAAAAAACAGCGCTACAAAACAAAACAAAATACGAAAAGAGACGATAAAAAAGTTGATTAAAATTTATATTCTTCTTTTTGTATACTGTTTAATTGGTCACTTGAGAAGAGCGCCGAGTTCAAAATTTGCAACCACCACCCTTTTCGCGGTTTGTCTCTCGTTATATTCTTGCTGTGTGTTACTTTTGTGTTCACCGTCCACTTAACCACGCACTTTTGGCAGGCGACTCCTCTCGTGGCTCTGCTCACACACAACAGCGCAACAATTAAGATCGTTCATAAATTAGATCGCCGCTCCAAAAATGGCCACCCTGGGCCTTTCGAAGGTGTTCATACTGGACAAGTATTTTACCGAGCTGCAAAAGTTTTGGGAAACCGAGAAGAAGTTGCAAGGTAGGTAGTATTCGCTGGAACGTCACTTGCGAGGTTGTAAACAACCGTCACAAGAACCGGTATGGGTGAGTTGGCTGGCCGTGCTCCCCTTCGTTGGATGTTTTGGGAATCAAGGTGTCCAAATCAGCCACACCTGAGCCTGCGCGTGCGTGAACTGGACCAACCTGTGCCAGGCAGCCAACCAACCAACCGACCAAGGGGGACTAAACTCGAATTATGACACGGAACCGTTATAATGCGCAACGCTCATAGGCATAGGACAGCGAAACAATCGTTTCAAGTCGTTGAAGGAGAAGACGGATAGAAAATTTAGGTTGATGATTATCTAATTTCAGATAAAAATATTATTTTAGATAAATTAATACTTGAAAGATATGTTGGTTTAAGAATAATTGTACTTAAAATTAAGGCTAACTGAGATGCTTTAACTTCGAGTTTCCATTTAGTGATAGTGATTGCTGTACAAAAACGAAGATCAGACAATGAAAATCACATCACTTAATTTTGAAATATTCAACGACATCCTCAACATTTCTCTTTGATAATCAGTTGGTTGTTTCTCTTAACAAACGTTTCCTCTCTCTCAAGTAATAAAAAATGCCAAAAATTGGTAACAATGTCATGATTTAATTGCTCACAACAATGTCTTCATTTGCGGACCTAGACAACCTGCTGAAAGCTGCTTCGTGGCTGTTTTGATAATCACCCATAATTGGGGTTGTAATATGCGTCATTTGAAGATTCTATCTAGCCCCGGGTACTTCTACAGCCATCTTGACGATCATTTGAAGCCAAGAAGCGCCGTCAACTTGGAGCGCTCCTGATCGCACACAAATGGTTCTCCTTAATAATACACCTCATTATGTCCAAAATAAAATTATACTATTTACCCTACCGCTCAAAGACAGGCAAAGTTGTCCGATGAAATTGTTATTTCTTGTGGTTGTTAGTTATAAAATTTGATGCTGCCGTGTGCGATAATTAGGTTTCACAAAATTTGTACAGGAGAGAGAGGCAGCTGCTTAACCGAACCGAGGGATCACAGTGTATGAAGGCAACGAGAGCTGGCTAATGCTGTTGTGTGGCCATCAGAAATTATATGAGTTGGCCAGAATCGCACACATGCCACTCATATTCACTCACTGCTGCCGTTCACTTCTATCGATCGCATGCCTACAGGCCTATAAAATTCGACAGGGTCTCTACCTGTACGTCAACCAAATGACTGGCTATGGGTTATTTTGTTTTCGCTTACTTTCAGGACACATGGACCAACTAAGGTAGCTGAAAACATCAATTTGGTTCAAAAATAACTAACCGATTGGAGATGGTGTTTGAAACAGTGGGGGGGGGGGGGGGGGGGCAATTTCAATCGAAAATTAAGTATAAAATGCTTCTTGTCTTGGACGAACCATTCGGATAGAGGTGGGACCCTAAGAAGAAGTGAGCTCACCATAAATTTCATATTAATGCCGATATATTATGCGCAGATCCATTAACGTGGCACATGTTCAGCTTATTCATTGGAGACATTAAAATCGGAATGCTCAATTTTGCAAGCACGTGTGCATTACGATGTCATTGGCACTTGCAGCTGGTGTATTTATTAAAATTCAAGGTAGGATTTTCAAACGGGCATATTTGCTTTTGTTAACAAAGATTCAAACGTCAATTTGTTAAAACACTTAACTCGCATACGCAAACTAGCACCACTGTCAGGTAGCGTTGAGATGCCCTTGATGGTGATGCTAGTTTGCGTGGGCATGTTTAAAGTTTCGACAAATTTACGCTTGAATCTTTGTTTAAAAATGCAGATACGCATTAAAGTACATACTTTTTGACAATTCATCATTGAAATATAATATAGAAACTTTTGGTTTTGTAAGCTTACTTTTTGTAGCTTGAACCTACGTGCAATCTTGTACCAAGATACATTTCATACAATACACTCGAATGTATCGATGTTCACAAGTGTATTCGCACATGTTTGTGTTTGTACACGTTGTACATTGCACATTGTTTTAAACTAACAAAAAAACGCGTAGACCTGAACTCGTACAATGAATCTTGTGATTATCCAAGGAGTAGGTCACTCCGCACACCAATCTTAGGTCATCTTTTTTGTCAGTGTGCCACAAGTGTGCCGCAGGTGTGCCGGTCACAGAGCAAGCTGCGATTGTTTGTAAAATACCCATCTCAGCAATCTGGTATTTCTGACACCTTGAATGTTTTTGGTTTGAAATCGCAAGGATAAATAGGATTGAGGATGACGCGGGAAGTGGCGGATGTGCAAAATTTTGGCGTTTTGTGTTCATAGGATAATAAAAGTCCTGTGTTTTAGGGTTTTATAACGCCATCAAAGGCAGACCAGAAACCTAGCCTTTCGTGATGTGAAAGCAACGGTCTATCAGCGGCCGGAAAGAGTTGGATCCAGTGGGGAACATTGTTGGAGACCGAGTATAGAGGATGGTGAATAGACTTCTGTAGTTTGTTTTGTGTGAGTTGCAGCATTATTTGAATTAAGGGTACTAATGGGGTCTGATGAACTACCTCTTTCTCTTGAGCCTACTCCAGAACCTACACTTCGTATTTAGATGTATAAGTGAACTGCTGGTCTGAGTTCCTCTGGTATATTCAATTAATCATTGAAGTTGTGCACAACATTACGTGCTGTTTGAATGTTTATTCAGGAACATCGAATAAACATTCAAACAGCACGTAATGTTGTGAACAACTTCAATGACAGTTGTCCAGCAGTGCTCTCATTTTATTTACAACCATCCAATGCCTACGATATTGTGCTGAAGGTGTGCCGATGGATGTACCCAAGCTGTGTCGAATTTAATTTCGGCACAATGTGCTGAGTGACGTACCCTCGGAAGTACCCTTAACTTAACTTAACTTTGATTTTTTGTTAAATTTTTCTAACATAAAACATTTGATTGATGTTGATAATTAACACCTTTTTCTGTTCAGCTGTAAGATCAAAAGAGTCTTTATTAAAATGAATTAAATGACGTATAATAAATGGAAAGAGGAAGGGAAATGGAAATGGTATAGGGGAAACGGATGTAATGTCGGCCTAAATCAATAGCGACCAAAAATATCCATTAGTACCGTCCCAATTACGAGTTCATCTAGATAAAATTTATAAATAGCAGATTTTTAGCGATGGGCCCAATCTTAGATCAATAGGCCAACATTAGAGCTTTTTCCCCTAGTTGATAAGTTCAAATGTATCCTCAGCAGTTTCTTTTTCTGTTTGCATTGTTCTTCCGATGCCACTACTTCTTCTGGATCACTGCATTCCTCTTCCTTTTTGGCTGTTTCGGAGGCCATGGTCGTGTTTAGTTAGGGTACATTTATTACTATTTTTCTTATCGACCTAAAAAGATTAACGACGAGGATTTGGCTAGTCAATAGTCTCATTCCGTACCTTATGCTTCTCGAACTCGATGATTCTATTGATTTCCAGGCTCATCAGTTTTATACCATCCAGGGGGACTTGGTCTTGTACTCAATACTTTCCTTATCTCCATTCATCTCAGCTACTCGCAACGTATTGTAATATAGGAAGGGGGGAGTATTATCATAGAGGTAACTCTAAGACCATCTTCTGTATGAAAGGTACGAATTTAGCTGCATAATAGTCCGAATAGCACCTCCTCAACTTTAAACAGCCATTATTCAGCTTACCAATCATATATAATATCAGCTAATAATCAACGGCGCCGGTGGTGTAGTGGTAAGCGTGATTACCTCTCACCCCAGCAGGCCTGGGTTCAATACCAGTCGGCGCCGCCGGGATGTTCTGAGGCATAACATCTCTGATCACGCCTTCCTTCGGATGGGAAGTAAAGCCGTTGGTCCCCGGTTCATGAGTTGATGGGTCGATAGGTAGGGTCCAGGTGTGGGAGCTGCCTTCCTGGCACGTCGGTAGCATTGGTGCTCAGCACGGAAAACAAGATCGACGGAAAAAACAAACCAAAGGAAAAAAAAAATCAGCTAATAAATACTTAAACCACTTCTATACACATGTCAATTTACAAAAGCATATGTGACTTTTGGTGCATCAATTTTTCCATCAAATTTGAGTTAACCTCATGAATGGTGTTTATTTACATCGTGTTTTTGCAAAACTCACATTGAATTTAAGAATTTTGTTGAATTTTGAAATGCGAAACAAAACTACCAAATCATGTCAGTCTCATATTGAAAGAACAACACTCCCATTTGTTACTTCAAGAGAAAGTACTGTTTACTGTTCAAGAGCAACTTAAACAATCTGAGTTAGTTTAAATCACATGTAATGTTCGTGCAGGCGACTACTACTGTCTCTACCCTTAACATAAAATAGGTACTGTGCCTACTAGACTGATGCAAAATTTGACTTTTTCGCTCCACAGTGCTTAAATGGTTTCAAATCGGGTTGTGATTAGCCTCCAAAAGTTACAACTCATTTGGTTAGAAACAGACTTCGCACAAACCATTTGAAGTTTACATGTAAATTACTATGGGAAATCTCAACTTTTTGTTAATTTCCTTCTAGTCTTTTTCCATATTAAGTTGCAAAACAGCTCGATAACTATTCTTATAGAAAATTTTCTCAGCTACAACTTTGCTCAAGATCGTTTCTATGTAAAACGAGACAGGAAATAGTTATTAATTATTTAAGAGATTGGTAAACTTATGACATGATCAAGCAGCTGCTCTGTAGGCAACACTGTATTTTGCAGTGTGACATAGTAACCATAATTTTTGTGTCCTATTCAACGCCCCAGAAACACCAATGTTGCCTGCTGAGCAGTTGATTGAGCTTGATCATAAGACATCAGTGCATTGAACCATTGATAACTTTCGAGCCTTGCATTTAATCAAAAAATGGTCTTCAGCAAAGTTGTGGCTGGAAAAATTTTCTACAAGTAAAGTTAAAAGTTTTTGAAGCAGACCGATATTGTGAATTATTAGATAGACATGAACAAAAATCTTGGTTTTACCAT